TGGGGAGTATGGTCCCTGGCCACCCGCGTCCCCTTACTTGTGTTGTCCTTGAACAAGTCAGAGCACTTTACGCAGGACTTGGTCAGGAGGTCGAAGCACTGGGGGGAGAGGCAGGAGGAGGCAGCGACGGCTTTTCCTGACGAGGGCATGGTGGAATGGGAGCCCAGATCACGCATGGCGCGATGATGAAGGGGCCACCCGAGTACGAAATCGCAGTGCCCCGGGGCTGTGGCAGAGGGAGATACAGTCTGTCAAGCTGCGTAGTCTCCCTTGGGGCTCGCAATCGCTGTGCTTGCCCCGGGGCGGATCTTCACCGGGGAGGAGGAGAGCAAGCATCCAAGCCCTACCCCTGCCTGCCCATGCAATACACTCTCAAACTACCCCTCTCCTCAAAAAAAACGCTTGTGAAATCCTCACAGCCCCTGGCACGCCCCAGCCATGCAATAACCCATGCCCAGTAGCACAGCGCCCCAGCCTGACAGTGTCACCTCCTCAGCCCTCACCCATCCCCAGCTCACCCATATGTCGCTCCCAGCCCAGGCATGTCGCCCAGCCTGCACCCTCCTTCACTGGCCAGCAAAAAGCCCCCTTGGCATCCTTCAGTGCCTACAGGACACTTTCCTGTGCCCAGATCTTTACAAGACCCCGTCCCAGGGGCACAGATCCAGCTTGGATGGAAAATGCAGAAAAGGACTGAAGAAGGTAAGAGTCTAAGGGCACCAAGGTTTCCCCTTTCAAAAGCTCCACTGCCCCCAGGACATGGCCTGTTAGCAATTGCTGTGCAGACAGGCCACCTGATGTGTATTCTCCATCCCTACTAATGATAGTGCTCTCCATCACCTTGCTCTTTCCATCCTCTCCATCCCAGACCTAGACCTGTGGCAAAGACCCTCCCATCTCCTTGGCACCATGTCTCATTCTCCAGGGTTCAGATCTGGCTCTGCTCTGTAACTGGCCAGGGCATGGGCAAAGCAGGTCACACCAAGTAAATCTGGTCCCTGTACCCTTGGAAGGGTCTAAACAAACTCTCAGTGGTCTTAGGTGTTCCTGATCAGGAGAAACGTCCTGCCACTGGTAACTACACATGAAAGCTTGATGCTTGAGATCTGAAGTAAGTGATGGATTTCAGTGTTGCAGGTGGCTCTTCTCCATCCTTACAAAACAAAAGTCACATCCCCTTTTTTCTTCAGCCCGTAGGAAAGAAAGGGACCAGACACAGCTGCTATCTTGTTCTCAGCTGAAGGGAGCAGCACAGGAGACCTGCCCTGGCCCGGAGAGCCCTAACAGGGCTTTACTGCTGCAGTCCCATCCTTGCAGCAGCTATGGCCTCTGAGGTCTTTCTAGTGAGGTCTTTGAGACTCAGTGTCCTGGACCAAAGCTGGGAGGGGAGGGGAGGAGGAGGAGGAAAGCTAAAGGACGCTCTGGCTCGAGATGACAGAGTAACAGGCATCCCCACTGGCCAACCGAGCTCTCCTGAGACAGAGGACTTGGTCCCTGGCTGTGCCTTCCCCTCTCCAATGGCTTTTGGTCAATCCGAGCCCACAGCCTCCACACCCCACCTGCTGAAGCCCTGGGTGGGACGCAAGCAGCAGCTCTCCACGCTGGGTTGCAGCCCAAGCACAGCTCTCCAATACCCCATGCTCCACAGGGCAGGAGCTGCTCTACGGTGGGGCCCTCCCAGCACCCCAGCCACATCTCTGAGGGGGGCTGCACCAAGGCACACCGAAACACCCCCAGCACACCTCAGCCCTCCCTGCTGTGTGCCGCAGGGCTCTGAGTGAGTGAAAGTCCTGACCAAAACCGATTGCTGCCCACCAGTTCCACTCCTGCTGCGATTTCACTTCCCTTTACAGCCGGTGTGCCCAGCCACTCACTCCCTCACCCCTCGCACATGTGCACATGCACTTGGCTACCAGGGCGTGCCCTGCCTGGCTGTGTTGTGCCAGCGGGGTTGGCCATGACAAGCTCAGGGGGCTGTGGGATCCTCCAAGGAGCTGCGAGAGCCCAGCCTCCATTCCTGCGCCTGTGACTCAGTTATTCCCCCTCTCTCTTAGTCAAAGTAAAACTCCGAGCAAGTGGGGGCATGCCAAGCACTTCCCTCTCTCGGCCTGGCCCCGAGCTCTGAAGCCATGAGTGGCACAGCCAGCTCAGCACCCTCTGCCTCGATGCTTACACTGAACAGGCTGCACTCACCCCTGCACAGGTACCTGCTGGGGGAGGACATCTCTCCATATCCCACCTCACTCAGCTCCCTGCCTCTCATGTGCCTCGGGTGAGGAGTAGGGCTGTGGTGCAGGCACAGGAGCAGGAGGGGTGTGCATCCAGCATCAGAGTGAACCAGGACCATCTCCAGTGGGTCGGAAAGCCACAGCAGGGAGGGCTGAGGGGTCAGAAATAAAGGTCAGGCTCACTCCAGGCCATATCTGAGCTCCACAGCAGAGAACTCTGAAGAGGAGAGGGCACCCAGAGTGCTCACTGTCGCTGGCAGGCAGCTTGCCGAAGTGCAAGGGTAGAGACTAGAAAACATCTTGCCCGGTGGGCTGGAGCTGTGCACAGAGGCAGGGGACCCTCACAAAACAGTCAGTGCCCTATCAGGATCCCTGCCCCTGCAACACCTCCCTGGCTTTGCTGCTCCTCTTGCCCCAGGGTGTTTCCACCTGCTGGTCTCCTTTTCCCAAAGGAGGATGCTTCTCCATCATTCCCTTCTCACCCTCCCCCCTGAAATCCCCCCACTGTGCTTCCCCCACATCAGTCATCTCTCAGTGACCCCCAGTCCCTATTCCTATGGGTCCTGCTGTAGCACTGTCACCTTGCCCCTCTCCCTCCCCTCTCTGCCTGGTTTATTGCATGGTCGGGGGAAATGGGTCTTGGCATCTGCTGTACCACACTTACAGATTAACTCTGTGACCCCTCCAGTCAAATATATGCACTGGGGAAAGCCCAAACAAGTACCTACATGTTGCTTTTGACACAGAAGGCAAATGTTTACAATAGAGCTCAATAGCTGATGGCTCTCATTTCAGTACATGGACTGAAAACCTGAAGCTGCGAATGCATGGCAGGGAGCCCAGGGACAGCAGCCACGATGTCCTCCTGCAAATTAAGTGCTCCCAGGTCCTGTTACATGGATGTTGCAGCCTTATTGCTGCAATTGATCTTACCCTGTTTCCTCCCACTTTCTAAGCCTTCTTTATCCCCCTCTATAGCTCTTTCATGCTCCCTTCCCGGCCCATCTGCTTCCTCCTGGGCCAAGAAAATGATGTTTGAAATCATACATGATAATGCATACTCACAGAAAAAATCACCGCTGACTTCCCCAGTGGCAGTTGCACATGTGCCTGCTCAGCGGTGTGGCCCAGGCTGCCTAGCCAGATCCGAGCATCATCTATACCCCTCTTCATCTCCATTCTTGCCTCCCCTGCCCTTCGTAATGGCTATTGATTGGTTTTGGAGCAGCAAAATTTATAACTTGGTGAGTGGTTTGAACTGTTTGCATCTAAGAGCTGAATACGCTTGATAATAGCACAAATGCATAATTAAAGAGCAGAAAAAATGACCCAGTGGACAAGGAAACGTGCTTTTCTTATCTCCTCTGCAGAGAAACAAAAGCCCCAGGAGCCTGGGACTCCGGCTAACCAAGTACTTTTATTAAACAAATAAACCAGCAAAGATATCAAACAAGCTATTTTAAAACTATGTCTTAATCCTGGAGTTGGAGAGGTTGATTTCCAGTGCTGTTTGCTCCAAGCCCACACTGGGAAGGCTGGCTTTGGCTGAGGATGGCTGCTAGGATCTCCATGGTGGATGGGGTCCCAGGAGTGTGGAGGGATAGCAGTGTCCTGTGAGCACTTGTGCACACATGAGTGACTGGACTCGTGTGAGCAGTTCCTCTGGTGTCAGATGTGGGTGAAGTGACTCACACACACTTGCAGAACCACCCCTAGCAGAAAATATCCACCGAAAGTTCACCTTGTGCTCATGTGCACCGGAAACCCAAAGGCTTGTCAATCAGAGAAGCCATGAGGTGTTTATTGAGCAGACACAGTTACCTCAGGACAAACCGCTGACCTGATGCACCCAGTGCCCCAGGAATGCCTCAGCACAGCCTGATGTCTGCCCAATGGTGCCACTGGAAGGCTCTGGCTGGAGACAACCCCCAAAGCACATTCAGCACCTCAGCCCCACGGCCCTTCCCAACGGCCCTGTGCTGGCTGGTGGGGAGCATCCCCTTCAGAAAGGTCGCACTATGGCTCTTAGGAGATGGTTCTTCAGGGCTCCAGCAAAAGCCTCCTCCTCAGGATCCACTGGGATGCCCCAGCATGACTCAGTCCCACTTTGCTCTGCCTTCTCAAAGTCAGCTGAGTTTAGGAACAAAATCTGGGAAGACTTTAGAAATAATGTGTGAAACTGAAAGCTGCAAGAGATTCACCATCACCCTAAAACCCAGACCCCTCCATAGGTGCTCTGCTTCTCACCAAGGGGTTTTGTGGTACTACTCAGCCATCTGTATAGGGAGTTTGGCATGGAATAGCACCCCAGTAGCACCAGCTCTGCTGAACATTATTTGCCTCCTCCCTCCTTGTTTACATGTCCTGGGAGCTGTGCTTGTCCATAATGCTAAGCAAAAATGAGGCGTTGTCCTTGGCTCCTTCCGCAAGGGAACTTTGAGCCCTCCAGGAGTGATGCTGAGCACCCAAATAAGGCTTCTATAGTGAGCTGTCCTTTGAAGACCCCTCCAGATTTAAAGAACAGTGATCAGCACTGCCTGGGCTCAAGCTCCCTCTGCCCATTCCCCCTCCCTGCTCCAGAGAGCCCAAGAGGGACGCAGCAGCATGGAGGACATGGGGGAAATCCCCACCCCAGATCCAGCCCTAGGGGAGCTGAGCCCTTAACCTCCCCCAGCAGGAGCAGGTAGATGGGGAGGAAGCAAGAGGTGTTTCCAGCCAGTGTGTTGCCTGCTCTTGCCACTCTGCAGAGCATGGTGGGACTCTCTTAGCAAGGCTTGTGTCCCCAGATACTGCCTGGGCTCTCACAAGCCCCGCCATGTCACGAGTGAAATCTCAGCTGAGCCCATCTCTTCGGCCTGGACAGACCTGCAAACAGTGAGGGAAGCTCCCAGCCCCCTCTGCCAGCAGCAGAGATGCTGCCCCAATCCCAATCCTGAGGATGGGTGGGAGCTTGCCCCCTTGGATGACTGTGCAGGAGGACAAGTGCCCCCTCAGGTTCACCTGCGGCTGGTTATAGGGAGTGTTCATGTGCCCTGGCAGGGCCAGGCAGCACCTCCAGCACCAAAACAGAAATCAGTAGCTGAGGACAATGTGCTGCCACACCACAAACCTCCAAGCAGTGGGTTCAGCTGGTTCAGGCATGCATACGCCAGGGCAGAAACCTCCCTGACATGCCAGGCTGAGCACAGAATCCTCCCTGACACTTGCAGTGAGGAGCCCCACTGTTGCCCTTTTGAAGCATAGAGATCTCCAGCAGACAACTCTGGAGCCAAAATCAAAGCCTGCTGAAGGCAAGGGGCTGTCTCCCATTGAGCCCCCACCCTTTGCAACTTGCTCCAGCAGCAGGGGACAGGAAACCACTTAGGTCAGCCTGGAAGTCAAAACTAAACTAAGCAGCCCCAACTGCATTTTGCATAGTGCATCATCATAATGAACAGCTCACAGGAGAGCTGCAGCTCCAGGTCACACATAGGAATAGTTTGGTGAATATAAGGCAACATGAGAAATAGGAAGGTGCTTGCGACTCCAACGCAGAAGAAATTATGTTTATCTGAGGCACTTGTTTGTTGCAATTTACTGTCTGCCATACAACCGACCCCCTTCCCCATACACAAATAACACCACACTGCCCCCCATGACTGCAGCCCTGCCCCAGCAGGGCCACTCCACAGCCAAACTCCTCAACCTTGGCCATACAAGCCATTCTAATAGAGATGCTGAAAACCAGCAGCATGCCTGGATAACCTAAAACACAGATCAAATGGGGGAACAGAATGCAGAAACACCCCCAACCCCCCAACAACCCCAAAACTCCTGTGACACCTGCAGATTTTGACAGCCTAAGCAGGAGTAAGGGTACAGGAACCTCTGTGGTTTCCAGTCCTAACCACTGCTCCAGAAATGGCTCCCTGAGCTGGCTTTTGTCGTTGATTTGTTTTCCTTGCCAGTAGGGAGGATGCTGCCCTGGAGCTCCCCACCACCCCAGGTACAGACAGCAGCAGTAGGTACTGGCCAGCCCCCCTCACGCTCACTGCTGGGGAGCTCCAACTTTTCTGTTTGTCATCGTCAGACAATGCCCCACAAGCAGCTGAGCCAAGGGAGTACAGGGATTTTGAATGTAGGCTGCTCAGCCTATCAGATGTCAAACTCAGGCTGGTTTCAGCTTCACAGGATTGAGAGGGACTACAGCGCTGCAGGAGGAATGAGTGGCACGTGTTTGGACATGAGCAAAACCCCAATCTGGGATGAGATGCAAAGAAGTGCGTTTCTGCTGAACCAAAGCGAGCCCCACGGCCGGTCAGCTCCCTCCGGCAAGCAAGCTTGTCACCGCTGTTCTGTCGACTGCAAGGCTCAGCTGACAGCCTCCGTTCTCCAGCTCCAGCTGAAGCACTGGTCTGTGCTTATTAGCCTGCAGTGGCATCGCTGCGCTTG